CCGGATTTGGGCCAATTTTTAGGCTTTACACCGTCGAAAGGATTGAGTAACCCGATGCTTATCACCATTTGACTCCTCCTGCCGTTCGGTTGAAACCCAACCGAACCCAACCGAATTCAACAAACCCAACCAAAAACGCACCAGGCATCAATACAGCGCCCCCACAGTCCACCTCCACTGCTGTAGGAGGATGAGTTCTAAATCCCTCAATCGGCGCAATTCCCGCCTCAGCCTCCGCATCTGCTGACTCCGCATCTGCTGACTCCGCATCTGCTGACTCCGCATCTGCTGACTCCGCATCTGCTGACTCCGCATCTGCTGACTCCGCATCTGCTGACTCCGCATCTGCTGACTTCGCATCTGCTGACTCCGCATCTGCTGACTCCGCATCTGCTGACTCCGCATCTGCTGACTCCGCCGCCGCCACCATCACCGTCGTGGTGGCCCCCGCATGACCCATGGGTCGGACCTCCCGAATGAGCCCTCCCTGGAGCAAAACACTTTGCAAGCCCTCTAGGTAGTTCCCTGCCGCAACATCCAGGACTCGGCAGTTGGTCAGAAGCAGAGAGAACTCCTGTGGCGGACTGGACGCCGCTGCCGCCGGCTGCAAGGACATAGCGGGATCTGGTCCGCCGGTCGCCGCCGCGTCTACCGCTGCAGGTGTTGGGGGCATCTGTGAATCACTGTGGAGACGCGGCTTTTTAGGTGCAGGTGGGCTGGACCCGGAGGCGGCAGAGGGGAAGGAGTGCGCACGCAGACGCTGGAGAGCCCGCCTAGCCGCACAGGCGCGCGCAAAGGAGCTGAAACATAGTTCTTCTGGCATGATATTGGTGATGTCGTCGTTATCGGCACCTTTGGGCTGGTCACCTTCCGTTGAGGAGAACGGCAAAGTAGGCCATTCGTTCGGCAGCCGGAGCTGCAACATGACTCCGATAATAGCTGTTGTCTCCTGATTTAATAACGGAATGAACTTCTTATGAAAGGGCTCTTTTCTAAAAAGCAACTTGAGGAAATGCGTGAAATCGGTACGATTCTTGCGATTTGAGACGGGACATGAAATTAGACACCAGCTCCAGTACATGTCAAAGCCCCAAAGGAGGTGGCTATGAAAGCCTTGGAAATTGTGATTTCGGAAGAGGCAACGGAATACTGGACGAGGCTGTACATTCTTCTAGCCAGCGTGCAGCATCTCGTGGTCCTGCCAGCTTGTAATGATGCTTGGTCCCTATAGGGTACTGCGTCGTATGCTAACTAACTCAAGGAGTCAGAAGTCACAATTTGGTTGGTATTGAAGAATACCGTTTTT